TGGTCGTGGGAGACGTCTCCTCCTGCCTTTCACGGTGCGAGGCAGCGAATGCGCTGGGCTGGGAGTATCGCTCTTACCCGCTCCCTGGAGGAGGCCCACGTTCCCACGACTAGCAACGCGCAGGCAAGCATGCGTCCAGTCGACGAGGCACGCAGAGCCCACTCTGGGACATAGGACAATCTAAAATGCTGCGGGTGGCGGTGGTGGACACAGCCTGCTCGACAATTCACCTGGATGTGCACTGTACACATACACGGAGCCCAGTACATCTGGCCTGCTCTCTGTGCCACCGCCTGTTTTTCAGGAGATGATGGGAGCCTAGTTGTGTACTGGGTGACACGCCTGCTGAGGGCCTATGCATGGTGTTCTAGTTGCGCAATATTTATACCTTTCTCGTTCAACGCATGGGATTGGAGTATGGCCGCTCTACTCTTCAGCGTGCGCTCAGCCATGTCGTGCCACGATTGCCTGAACAGGAACGCACTCGCATTCGGGTAGATGGTGCGAGCGCAAGTTGTCAACCCTGATTTGGTCGTTCAAAGTTCTGGAGTGCACAATGCCTTGTGGAGTTTGAGAAACACATCATGTACACCTTCCCCTGAGATTCCACGTAGGCTCGGCCGTCAGGAGGTTTCCCCAAGAGCCCGAAGAGACATCCTTCTTCTCCCCGTCCCCCTCCGCCACATCCCCATCCTCGTCTGACTCCTCCCGAACATCTTACTCCTCATGTTTCTTCTGTTCCTCCTGTCCCTGTCCCCCTGCTCCTGGTCAGAAATCCTCATGTTCCTTCTGCCCCCCTCCTCCCGGAAGCTGGCGTGCCTGGTCGACAAGAGCCGTCCCTCGAGGAGCAAAATGCAGAAACATCCCACGAAACCTCCTGCACCCGCTCCTCACCCCGACTCTCATCCTCCTCTATCCTCTTCTTCCCCCTCCTACTTCTCGTGTCCCTCCTCCTACTCCTCCTGTCCCGGGACAGTGTTTGAGGGTTCCTGGGCCCAGAGCGGGACTCCAGAGCATGTGGCGACTAATTCCCCTCCTGGACGCCAGTATAACGAGGATGGCGAAGGAGAAGATCCCCCCTACAGCCTCACCACGCCCCTGACTTGGGGCCGGAATTCCTGGAAAGTGGCCCCCGAACCCCTCGCAAGGTCTGTGCTGGCAAATTTCTCCGAGCCGCATCTGGCCGTGGTAACGAGAACTTTGGGACGTCCTAAAGCATCCGAACCGATATCTGCCGTAGCCGCCGTCGCCGCCGCCGCCGTCGTCATTGTCGTGGTCGGCCTCGGCGTCGGCGTCGTCGTCGTCGTGGTCGTGGTGGTGGTCGTCGTCGTCATCATTATCTTCGTCGTCGTCATCGTCGTCGTCGTCAAAGGTCGTCGTCGTGATCCGTCGTCTTGGCATGTGGGAGCGGAATGCTCAGGGAAGCGGGTCCTGGACCCCAGAGCTTTCCCCAAGATTGGTTTCTCATTCCGAGTCGCTTCCTGACGATCCCACGGCTCGGGACGGGCCCCAGCAGAGCCCGATGACAGAGGTAAACCTCAGGCCCCGTCTTCCTCAGGACCTCTTTTCTTCATGCTCGGAGGTCACACACCACCCCCAAGAGTCGTCCTGGGGTGCGGTCTGACCAGAATTCCGGGGTGAATCCAGCCGTGGCGACGAGGACGCTCCAAGAGGGCCCACAGAGGGACAAACACGCCAGAAAACATCAACCCTCGACGTCGTCGTCGACGTCGACGTCGTCGTCGTCGTCGTCGTCGTCGTCGTCGTCGTCGTCGTCGTCGTCGTCGTCGTCGTCATGGTCGTCGCTGTCGTCGTAGATCGAAGTCTGCCATGAAACAACGGGGTCCCGAGGGACACGGGTCCTGGACCCTGAGATACCCCCCTGGGGCCAACTCGTCATCCTGTGTCGCTTTGACGACCCCAGGGCCCGCGGAGGCCGGCGAGGGTCCGAAAACGGCACGAAACCTCACGACGCACCTCACGAGCCGGTTCCCTCCGAGGGGATCGCCGATGCACCCCGAGGCGGGAAAGCCGCCGAGAGCCGAGACCGCCCGAAAAATTCCAGCCCCGAACCCCTTGTCGTCGCCCCTGACCCTCACCGCTGGCCATGGCCTTCCCCGTCTTCGTGGAGACGCTCAGCCAGCCCTCGGGGAAGGCGCCCGCGGGCTGCAGCGGGCGGCCCAGCCCTGCGGGATCCTGGCGAATCGAGACTTGTGTTTGTCCACGGTTGCCGGCCTCTTCAGAACTGCTGGAAAGCAACAGGGCAGTCCCTGTGACGGCCTGCCGGGCCTAGGGCGCTGTCAGTGCCACCGAAGCCAAACAAATGGCCTGCTGCATCGACCGAGTGCATACATGCATACAGCCGTCCACCACCCCAACCAACCGACCATCGTGAGACAAATGCGCACACAACGAAGCGACTCTCAAAACTATGTGCGAAAACGGTGCTCGCTGCACTACCCGGGCAGGCTTGATTTCGGGCACACCCCCAGGAAATCGGCAGCACACGTCACGAGTTGTCCAGGAACATCAGAGCGCGGGGGCCGAACGGTCATTATGTCCCTGGGTGCGTGGCTGAAAAATTATTCCACGATGCGGATTCTCGTCGTCTTCTTCGTCGTCGTTGTTGTTTGTTTGTATGTTTGCTTGTTTGCATGGTTGCTTGTTTATTTGTTTGTTTGTTCGTTGTTTGGCGTCGTCCCCCCGCGACCCACCCGCAACCCACCTTGCGACCCACCCTCACCCACATTGGTTTAACAAAAAACGGCGCCTGCGGCGTGCTCACTGCATAATTTGTCAAAGTCAGGCTCCTGTGGCGGGCTTCTTCAGAGCCTCGCAGACTGCCACGTCCTCGCCGCCCTCTCACTCTTATCCGCAACTGCGGGGTGCTACGCATTACGAACATCAGTCAATTTTTGCTTGGATATCACACATATTTGACTCTCTGGCGCCATGGCGTGCTCCCGAGACTGCCCCTCCTTAGAGACAATACAAGGGGGACAGCTAGAAACAATGCGCATAAACGTGCGCAATCGCGAAAATACCGAATCAGGTTGCACGGAAAATGAGCTGCTTTAAACAATGAAAAATGAAGAGTGGTGCCCCCTGAAAGTTTTCAGTTTGAGGCTTGTCATGCCCCACACCAACCCCATCTCTCCGAATTCATCAGTTCTACGGGATGCCTGCTCCTGGCGTCAGGAAAACGGCAATTTCAGGCTCCATGTCGCGTGCCACCAGAAAAGGTAGATAAAAGAGGAGAGGAGCGCCTGACATGAACGAGCAACTCGCAGCGTAAAAATGTGCCAGCTGCGCAGCATGCCGCCCCATGTACGCGTGGCGCGGCTGATGGCTCAGGCCTGCCAATACGGGCGTGGGCCGGCGCGCCTCCCTCACCCCCCCTCCCCCTCACCTGCCCCCCCCTTCCCGTTTCTCTGCTCCCTGCCACTGGGCTTCACTTGAGTCGATTAAGTGAATAGACAGCGTTTATTCTAAAGGAAGCCCTGGTTGCAGTCGTTGTCGGCTCGTTCTGCTTCACCACTATCCAGACAGATAGCACCATAGCTGCTCCACAGCGAAATCCGCAGACCCTGTCGGCGGGTGTGAGGGGCTTGTCCGTTCAAGTCGTCATCTCCGTCATTTGTTGGTCGTCGTCTCTGTCGTCCCCTTTTCCTGCCTCCCCTTTTCCCTGGGTTCGTCGGAGCCCCCCTCCCCAGGGACCTCCTCAGCGCGCCAGCCCAAGCGAAGTTGAGCAACGTCGTAATTGAAACGAAGGGAAGCCCCTTCCCTTCGACCCCTACCCCGCACAAGGGGGGGGGGGCCCAGGAGGGGTCCCGGGGGGGGGGGTCAACTACGACGCCCCCCGGGGAGTCCCGGAGCCCAAAAAGGCCCCAAGACGGGTGAAGAGTGCCCCAAGAGGCCCCGAAGACAGTCCAAGAGAACCACGAATCGCCGAACGATCTGTCCAAGACGCCTTGACGGCCTCCAGACGGCCCAAGAGGCCTGCAAAACGCTCCAAGAGGCCTCCAGGGGAGCGTTCCCACGAGAGCCCCAAGAGGCAATGCTTTTGAAAGATGTTGGCGTTCTTGTCTCTTCCGCGTCCCGACGCGCCAAGACGGCTCAAGAGGCCCCCAAGATCGCCCCGAGACGGCCCAAGAGGCCCACAAGAGGGTCCCCTAACGGCCGAAGAGGGCCCCAAGACGGCCCAAAACGCCTCCAAGACGGCCCAAGAGGCCCCAAAAACGGCCCCAGGAGAGTGCCTAGACGGGGGACCCGAACAGACATTTCGAGCCCTCAGCCCCATGAGGCCCCCAAGGGGGCCCGAAGAAACCCCAAGAGGCCCCAAGAGGCTCCCATGTGGCCCGCAAGAGGCCCCGAAGAAGCCCCAAGAGGCCCCAAGAGGCTCCCAAGGGGCCCCCAAACTGCTCCCCAGAGGCCTTCGAGAGCGCTCGGAAGAGACCCCAAGAAGCACCCCTGAGGACTCAACCCACATCAGCGTCGTCGTCGCTACCGCCGCCGCCAACGTCGTCGTTCCCCTTCAGGGACGGGTCCCGGAGCTCAAGAAGGCCTCTGAACGAGCGAAGATTGCCCCGATACGCCTTCAAGACAGTTCAAGAAACATTGAATCGCCGAACGATCTGCGCAAGACGCCTTCGCAGCCTCTGGACGGCCCCATGGGCCTGCAGGACGGCAACGGGTGTTTTTTCTAACGTTTTCTGGCCTCTGGAGGTCGTCTCCCCGCCCCGGAACCGCCACAAGACGATTCAGGGCGTGTCAGGCAAGGGTCCAGACCTTCGAGCCCACGTCGCAAAAAATCCGACGTCGGATATCTGGGGAGGTGCGACGCACGGCGGGCTCGGCTCGCCACGACGTCGGCGCTGATTCCAGACGCCGCGTGGAGCGTTCAGCCTTGAGCGATCGGCTGCTTCCAGATAAGCCGGATCGTTCCATATGGCACGATTCCGGGCCAGCGGCGGCGTTCAACCTTGGACGACCACGGTCGCCGCCGCGCCGACGCGTCGTGAACCTACCGTATCGCCTGCCTGATGAGGCCGGTCAGCTCTGCAGGCGGCTCTTTTCGGGAGTTTGTCTTGGAGATAGCACCCGTCCGAAAGTGGCGTGCTCCTCGTGTAATGGATGGAGCCCCCCATCCAGCCAACACGTAGACATAGATTCGCATTCCTCGAACGCTTGATCCGCCACCGTAACCCCTGGCACGTTGAGGCGTGGAAGAACGCAAAGTGCTGTCTGGTAGAATGACCCCCCACCTCACAGACCGCGGATCCTCCCATCAATCCCCCGAAGAATCGAAAATCAGCGAAATTTATTAACTTTTTAATCGATTCTCGCTTCGGGCATCCGTCCGCTGAAGACAGCACAAGAAGCCTCCGATATGCCCGCAAGACAACCAAGAGAGCCCCAAACTGACCCAAGAGGCCTCCAAGACGGCCTCAAGACGGCGCAAGAGGGGCCCCAAGAGAGCCCCAAGCTGGCCCAAGAAAACCTCTGGAGGGATCCCAGACGGCCCAGCAAGGCCACCAAGACAACCACGATATACCAATATGCCTCCAAGACGCCCAAGATGGCTCCAAGGCAGCCCAAGATGACCTCACGGCGGCCCAAGAAGCCTTCAAAACCGCCCAAGAGAGCTCCAAACGGATCCTCCAGAAGGCCCGAAAAAAAACAATAAATTCACCGATTGCCTAAACAGTTGCGATTCTCACTGCGAACATCCGTCCGCTCAAGACGGCCCTGGAAGCCTCCAAGATTGCTCCAAAACTACCCAAAAGACACCCGACATGACCCAAGAGGCCTCCAAGCCGGCATCAAATCGGTGCGAGAAGGGCCTTAGATGGCCCAGGACCGCACCAAAAGGAGCCCCAAGCTAGCCCACGAGGGCCTTCGGAGGAATCCAAGACGGCCCAGGAAGGCAACAAATACCGCAAAGATGGCCCAAGGCAACCTAAGAGGGCTCCAACAGGACCCTTTGGAGTACCCGAAAAGACAAAGAACAACAATCCCCTAAAATGATTGACAGATTTTCGCTTGGGCTTCCGTCAGCTCAAGACGGCCCAAGAAGCCTACAAGACAGCCCAGGAGAGCCCACAATTGCCCAGGAGGCCTCCATGAGTGTCTCGAGACGGCGCAAGAGGAGCCCCGGACGGCCCAAGACGGCCTCAAGAGAGCCCCAGGCTGTCCCAAGAGAGCCTCTGGCCTCCTCCTCTTCCTCCTCTTCCTCCTCCTTCTCCTCCTCCTCCTCCTCCTCCTCCTCCTCCTCCTCCCCCCCCCCTCTGTTCCCCCGCCTCCTGCTATTTTCTGCCTCCTTCTCCTCCTCTTGCTTCTCCTCCACATCCTTCTCCCCCCTCCTCCTCCCTCATCCACCTGCTCCACCCTTCCTCCACCTCCAACTCATCCTCCTCCCCCTGCCCTCCCCTCGTTTTCATCTTCGTCGTTCTCAGGGTCGGGGGCACCAGCCATAAGGCCTTCGCAATCTACTTGGCACAATCAGAACCAGTGCGAATGAACGAGCAAAACGGCCGGGCAAGGCAGCAACACACCAGGACAAAGGCGGCACAGAACACGACGGTGTGCTCCTCGGCGCCGAGCGTCCACGCGTACCGAGTCCACGCCCTTGGAGCCGCAAGGGCTGGGGCTGGAGATCGACCCATTCCCACATTGAACTTGCCACTTGGGGGGCTCTTGCGTCCCAGTGGCGAACGTGAGGCCAGCCCGCCCCGCATCTAAAACTTCCTACTGCATGGCAACTATCATGCTCAACAAGGTCACGAAGGCAGGGCCAAGATTCCGAGCTCCTCCGATGACGCCCCCGTAGAAGCAACCAAAACTTCCAACCTCTCCGTCACTGAGGCCATCGCAGCAATAGCATCCCGCCACCGCGTAGTAGCCATCGTCACAAGTACCCATGTACCCCTCGTAGCTCTCAGCCACGCAATCCCGGTTGTCATCTGCACATGCCCCACAATCGAGGCCGACGTAGTTGTCGTCGTCGTTGTCGTCGTCGTTGTCGTCGTCGCTGTCGCCCATGACCTCCTCGATCCAATCCCGGAAATAATAGACCCGAGACCAGATTCCGGGATACTGCTCGTCTGCACAACCGTAGCCCCACGAAGTGGCCCCGTGCAAAACATAAGAAGAGCCGCCAGAAGTGCAGACAAGCGGCCCACCACTGTCCCCTTGGCAGGCATCGGTGATACCGTCGTTGCTGTCCCGGCCCTGCGCGCACAACATGTCATCGGTGATAGCGTCAAAAGAATAGGCAGCGTCACAATCCGAGTTGCTGATGACTTCCACCTGCGCCTCCTGCATGTAATCTGGGGAAGATCCTCCTGAGGAGAGGGTCCCCCATCCTGTGATGAAGCACTCCTCGCCGTCAGCAACGTCCTCGTTTGGCAAGCATGCTAACCCAATGCAGTCGTTCAAGGGTGCGGCTTCGTCCAACTGCACAAGGGCAATATCGCTCTGCATGGTGGAGTCGTCGTAGTTTGGATGCTTGATCACTTGACGCACCTCGATTTCCACTTGGGCGGCATCGTCTGACCACTGGCTATAGCTGCCCGCCACGATGGAAAACGACGACCCATCAATGCAGTGGGCAGCGGTGAGGACCCAGGTCGGAGAGATGAGCGTGCCTCCACAGAAGTGGTACCCGGCAGAGAGGGACACCTGCCACTTCCACTCGCACTCTGTGGCGTCCTGCCCGTTCACGATGCGAGCGCCGCGCCCCGCGGACCACGGAGTGTCGTCGGGACCCTTTCCCCCGCATGCAAGAGCTGGGGTGGGTTGGGGAACTGGGGCTTCGGGGGTAGGTACCGGTGCAGGCGTCGCGTCTCCCATGCACAATCTCCATCCACCGCCTTCAAGACTGGGGTCGCTCGACCAAGCAATGCTTGCAGTCGGGGTGACCCCCTCGGGGCCACCAAATCCAGAATAGAGCACTCCGTTGACAATAAGCGTGTCGAAAGTAAGTTCCGTACTGAAGCTCTCTACGCTGATCGGTGCCGTGTTTGTCAAGTCGATTTCAATCGTGCAACCTTCCGATGAACCGTAAGGCTGCGGATAATTCGGGCTTTGCACACAGATGCCGTCTAGCGTGCACGGGCCCAGAACGGTCCCCCACATACTTGTCGTGTTCAACTCGTCGTCTGGGGCGGGTGTTGCAGCCTCAATCGCTCCCATCTCATCCTCGATCCAATCCCGGAAATAATAGACCCGAGACCAGATTCCGGGATACTGCTCGTCTGCACAACCGTTGCCCCACGAAGTGGCCCCGTGCAAAACATAAGAAGAGCCGCCAGAAGTGCAGACAAGCGGCCCACCACTGTCCCCTTGGCAGGCATCGGTGATACCGTCGTTGCTGTCCCGGCCCTGCGCGCACAACATGTCATCGGTGATAGCGTCAAAAGAGTAGGCAGCGCCACAATCCGAGTTGCTGATGACTTCCACCTGCGCCTCCTGCATGTAATTTGGGGAAGATCCTCCTGAGGAGAGGGTCCCCCATCCTGTGATGAAGCACTCCTCGCCGTCAGCAACGTCCTCGCTTGGCAAGCATGCTAACCCAATGCAGTCGTTCAAGGGTGCGGCTTCGTCCAACTGCACAAGGGCAATATCGTTCTGGAAGGTGGAGTCGTCGTAGTTTGGATGGGTGATCACTTGACGCACCTCGATTTCCACTTGGGCGGTATCGTCCCACCACTGGCTATAGCTGCCCGCCACGATGGAAAACGACGACCCATCAATGCAGTGGGCAGCGGTGAGGACCCAGGTCGGAGAGATGAGCGTGCCTCCACAGAAGTGGTACCCGGCAGAGAGGGACACCTGCCACTTCCACTCGCACTCTGTGGCGTCCTGCCCGTTCACGATGCGAGCGCCGCGCCCCGCGGACCACGGAGTGTCGTCGGGACCCTTCATGCCGCAGGAAAGAGAGGTGGCCGCAGGAGCTGGGGTAGCCATGGCCAGCGCTCGTTCACCACGAACTACCTGGTCGCCACACTTACCCGGATGAGCCACCTCAACATGTGAGCAATGAGCCTTGCACGCGCTGCTATAGGTGTTACTGTCATCACCGCATACCGGGTCTGAGTAGTGACAGGAGCAGCCATCATCTCCAGACATCAGAGCTCTTCCAGAATTGGCCATGGGTAGTGCTTGGACCCTGCGGAAGAGCTCGCCACTCTTGCCCCGAGGGACGTCCACATGCACCCGCAAGCAGGCCACGGGCTTGCCAACACCATCGGTGGCCTTGATCTTCAACTTGTAGGCACCGGCTATCACCATCGGCGGCAATTTGTCGAGGGCGAAGCGAAGCTCCGTGCTGCCCGTTGGAAGGGGGCATCCGCGTGTGCTGTGGCTCTTGCCGAAATGCCTGCACAAGTCCTCCTCGTACTCGTGAGGGACGCTGTGCCACGCGAGTTCACGCTTCATCCAATCTTCTGTAGACGACCCTTCAGCAGCTGCGCCCTTGTACAACTTCGCGCTGAGAGTTCCTCCTGATACGTTGCTCGAGAGAGCCCCGTAAGCGCGCACCTGGAGGTGGGCCCGATCGAAGTCCGCACGAATGACTGACATCGTATCCGCCTTGCTGCCACAATCCTCAACCTTCACACCCGCGCCAAGGTCAAGTAACTCTGCCACGGTAGTCACATCGCTGCGTTCCTTCCCCTCGCTCGCCACCTCGTCGAGGAAGCGCCAAAACGTGCCTTTGACATTGGCCTCCGCGATCGTACACACGCATAGGACGGCAGCCACTAAACGAGCAGTCACCGACGCTGTCGTAGCCATGACAACGCAGCTGATGTCTCGTCAAGTCCGTACGGCTCAGCCCCCCGGCCCGTCGAGGCGGTCCCACTTCGAGATATGCGCTCTTGAGCCAAAATGACCAGTTGCGGACGCTTTTGGGGGGCCATTTTTGGGGTGAGCTTGGAGGCCTCTGGGGCCGTTGTGGGCCCCTGGGGGCGATCTTGGAAGCATCTTGGGCCAGGCTGTCGTGGAATCTGGAAGCGCGAGGAAAGCTAAAATCGTTGACAAAACAACTGGAATGGAATCAGTTTGCCTATCGAAGCCGCCTGGGAGCGTCCTCCTGGGGTCCTCGCCGGGTTTATGGCGAGCCGGTTCGACGCTCTTGCAGAAATCTTGGGCCATCCTCCGGGTAGCTTCGCCGTCTTGGAGGTGTCTTGAGTCCCTTGGAGCCGTTTTGAACGTACCCTGGGTGCACCTCTTGGGGCTCTCGAGTTGAAAAAGGTTGGAGGTATTGGTGATTCTTGCGACAACTGCGCGGCAATCATGTGGCAAGATCTGAAGACCTCAAAACCCTCACGAGGTCAACATTTGCTTCTGGCGCTAGTCCGTACCACCGCCCTCGCTGCGCTTTCGCTGGCTCCCGTGGAGGAGGGAGCAGGAAAAGGAGGAAGAATCGACAGGAGATAAACCGATGAGAATGTGAAGGGGAAAAGAGCGAGGACAAAATTCGATGGAGGGATGATGAGAAGGAGGCTGAGTCGCGGGCAGAGGAGCACCGAACACGCCTATGACGAGTCGCCGCCACCCCCCGCCATTGAGAGGGGCCAATTCGCGGCCAGATGTTTTTGAAACGCATCGCTCGAGTGGCCGATACTTTTTTGAAAACTACCTCGACTCTGGTTGAATTCTCAAGACCCGCCTGGGCGTTGTCGGAGCTGTCACGGTAGTATTCGGGGGGGGCCCTCTCGAGCCGTTTCTGGGAACTCCTGGAACTTTCTTGAGCCGTCTAGAGGCCCTCTTGGGCTGCCTTGGGACCCTCTTCTCTTTGAAACATTATGGGGCCCTCCTGGACAACTTTGGACCCCCTTTGCCAGTCTTGGGGCCACGCGGGCAGTCTGAGACCGATGTTTAGAGTGTCGTTTTGATTGTTTAGCGGGCCCGTCCAACGCACGCGCTCGCAGCGACTTGCGCGAGTACCAGGACTCGCGGTAACAACTTCAGTGCGGCAGGAATCGCACGACGTCGGTGAAACGCACGCGCATGCCAGGACTTGCGGCAGCGAGGTAAGCCGAGCGAGGGCTGAAAAACGGGACTGAGCAACATCAGCCAATCTCAGTACTCCAAAAGCTTGGACAGCAGCAAAGCCCCAAGACGACATGTGACGATGCACGGTCAAACATACAAAAATCTAATGCGACGGGCTAAACCAAATCCTTGGATTACGGACAGTTCAGCGTGCCACTGAAGCTGCAGAGTCTGCGCTTCAAAGGCTGAGGACCCACGACAAAATGTGCAAGCGGGAGGCGCCGGCGTTCCTCAAACGCAGGGGTTCTAATGTGGCGAGGCTGGACGTCCGTGCTGACCCCCGCCCGTCGTCTGAGCCCCGAGGCGTGGCCTTGGCCGTGCTGGCTGGCCATTCGCGCGTGCGCGCGCGCCGCCGCGGGGGCCGCGGCCGCGGCGGCGCCCGCCAGCAGCGCGGAGAGGGCGAGAAGCTGCACGCCGCCCGCGAGCGGCGAGGGCGTGAAGCGCTGAAGCGCGGGGGGGGAGCGCAGGAGGGCCCTGCGGGTGCGGGCGGGCCACGAGCTCTTCTGGATGGGCCGCGCGCCCCCCAGGGCACGGGTCCCGCCCCGAAACTGCAGCGCGCGCGCACGGGGAACCCAAAGCCGTCAACAATACGTGATGACCGGCGTAAAACCCAACGCCGGACTTGGCGCGCCGACAGCACCGAACCCAAGGCGACCCCGAACCCAACAGTGGGGATAACTTGTCAGAGGCACCGTGCGCCTCGAAGTTCACTCGTCCCCGCATGGGGACCACGCCAAAGAGGAAGAGCAGAGGGAGCGGGGAACGAGAGGGCGAAATGTGACAGGAGGGGGGGAGAAGAGGGAGGGGGAACGAGACGAGGAGCAGAGGGAGGGGGAACGGGAGGAGGAACAAAGAGCTATGACAGCGGCGCCCGAGACTGGAATTTATTATCGTCGCGCACTCATACGGTGGCCCCACTGGCTGCGTTCGCATGCGCCCACCGCGCCGTTTCGGCACACCCCTCGCACGCTTCGTGGCTCCACAGGAAAGAACCATCGAAGGCCTCAATGGTTCCTCCTTTCTGCTTCTCTCCCTCCACTGCTTCCCCCCGTGCCACAATGCGGGTTTGGGAGCGCATGAAGGAGGTGCTGGAAAGTGAGGAGGCGGAGTGTGCCGTCCCGAGGACATGGGCCATCAATGTAGACGTTGTTCCCAGTATCCGCAGCTTGTAGGGCCCGTCGCTTTGGTTTTCGGTCATGGTTGCTCGGTCGTGCCGTTCCGTTCGCTTCGCTCAGGGTCCCTTGGTCCGCCCTTCGTTTCGGTTCGGTCCCATCGAGCCCTCGGCTCGGGCTTTCACGGACTTAACGCATTGACTCGAACCCACGCACAAATACGTGTTTCTCCCCCGTCCGTCCTTCCCGCTATCCCTCCCTCTATCCCCCCGATTCCCCCTCATCGATGAGGGCACGGATGAGGACGAGGAGGGTGCTGACGAGGATGGCAACGCCTCTCGGGGCACAGTGAGAACTAGGACACGAAGTGGAGGAGGAGGAGGCGGAAGAGCAAAGCAATCTGAGAAATTGCGAGGGGTAGGGAAGGTGCAGGATCAAGATTTCGCCGGCGAGGGGGGAGATGATGATAATAAAAAACGTTTGTCAAACTAGCCATGCTAATATCCGCCGGCCCTCTTGCGGAGCCACCAGGCTGCGAGGGTGAGGATTGCAGCTCCCTGTTCCAGTTGCTGCTTCCAGTTTCCACTGTTACACTCTTGCTTCCTGCCTCCTCACCGTTAAATGTTGCTCAACGCGCGAAGGAGGAACCTCAAACATTTTTTAATACCACGCCCAGATCGCGTTGTCAGAATTCGTGGGAGGGCGCGGGACACGTAAAAAACAGGATAATTGCGTCCCCGAGGCCATAATTCCTAACACACTACGCCATACTCGCGTCCCCCAAGCCATACCCCCCCCGTAAATTACGCAGTGTTCGCGTCCCCGAAACCATAACCCCTTGTACATTACACCAAGTCTCCACCACCGAGGCCACAAACCCTCGAAAAGTACGAACGGGCACCCGATGCCATGAACCCTTGCAAATGATATAATATTCGCGCCCCCGAAGCCATAAACCATCGAAAATTACCAGAAACGTTCGCGTGCCAGGGCCATACGCACTGGTAAATTACACCATGCTTGCGCCCCCGAGGCCACAAACCTTCGCAATTTAAATACTCGCGTCCCCGAAGCCATAAACCTTGCGAAATGAGGCAATAGCTGCGACCCCGAAGCCAGCATCCATCGTAAAGTACGCAACGCTTGCGTCCCCGACGCCACAAACCCTGATACATCAAACAATAGTCGCGTCTCCAAACCCATAAATCATCGTAAATGACGTGAACACCGCGCCACCAAAATCATACACCCTAGTAAATACATGTTGGCCCTCGCGTGAAGTCCCGACATTGCTTCACGTCAGCGTCCAGACATAACAACACAACTCTAGCAAGTCCCATTCTACGAAATGGGGGTGGCGGCATGGGGGCGACACCCTTACGGATAATGAATTGTGATACAGCATTGAGCATAATTCATAAATCTGAAAATGATGATGGCGGTGATGATGCTGACCCTGGAGCTGTTGATGGTGATGCCGTTGATGATGATTGAGATGAGGATGATGATGATGACGGTGGCGATGATGATGATGATGATGAGCATGGCGATGATGATGAATATTGTGATGGTGATGGTTGCGAAGCTGATGACAATGATGATGATGAGAATGGAGGTGGTGGTGATGATGATGGCGATGATGATGACGATGACGATGGTTACGATGATGATGATGATCACGATGATGATGATGTTGGTAATGGCGACGATGATGAGAGGAGGACGACGATGATGACGGTGGTGATGACGCTTAAGGATGGTGATGATGATCATGGCAGCTCCTTGATGCCCGCAGTCAGGGCGCGAGGGCGGGCTGCGTGGGGCGGCACGAGGAGGACGCCGCGGAATGTCAGGGCGGACCAAGAACATCAACTACATGCCAAGGAGCAAGACATAACAAAAAAGAGGTAGGTGGTGGCGATAACTGGACGGCACTCCATAAGCACCCGAACGGCCGCGGAAAAGCGCACATAAAAACCGTGAAATCATGCGCGCCATGGCAGCTCCTCCACGCCAGCAGTCAGGGCGCGAGAGCGGGCTGCACGGGGCGGCGCAAGACGCCGCGGAAACGCAAACGCAGGGCGGGCCGAGAACATTCACTAAGTGCCATGTCTGCAGGCATGCTTGCAAGCTGGCATCGCCAAACATTGGAGCTGCCTCTGGACAGAGGCAGTGATTCTCGCATCGTGAGCGCTGCAATCTAATCGCGCCAGGGCTTTGCAAAACCGGAGCGGAAAGACGGCAGAAGCTGCAGTGGCGAAAGACCAGTCAGGCATCTTGCCGCAGAGCATTTCGCGGGGCTTGCCCGAGCGAGCACAGGCCCCTCGCCGCGAGCCCATACATTTCGAGCCTCGCCAAAGAGTGGCATCCAACAGCCCCGCAAGGAAGCCCGCGTCATTTCGTCCCGGCGCGCCCCGCATACACATTGCTGCGACGATGAATCCAACAGCGCGACGGCGCGCCAGGCGCCTAAAATCGGGAAGAAGCCAGAGCCTGGATGTCTTGGGGTCCTCCGCAGACCACGGGGCCCCAGACGCCCAAGATGGCCGAGCGAGGGCAAGGGCCAAAACCGCTGGGGGGACAAACAACCGTGGCCTGTCGCTCGCGCGAGGGCGTTGCACGGCGCGCCCGCGTGCCACCCGAGCAGCAAGCCTGCCCGGAGCCACGGCGTCATTCTGAGGCGATTCTCTGAGCGGGTCAGATCGCACTGTTCGCCGAGCGACAGGCCCCAAACAAGGGCC